GGGGTTGCAAGGTTAGGCTGGAGCCAGGCTTGGGAGGGGTAAAATTCAAGGCTGATAAGTGGAGGAAGCATCTGGTAGCTTTCAGGGGAGTAGAAGTGAACCAGTAGCCTTTTGGAGGTGGATCTGTCCCTTCTATCTGGCATGTCACCCCCACTGCCAGACAAACATGAGCTCTCCCCCCCACCCAGCACCCTGCTTGGGAGGGAGTTCCCAGTGTTTTCCAGGAGCCCCAGGTGGCTCCGTGAGCCTGGGAGACCTCAGCTTGATGGCAGAGACCTTACACAGGTGGGATCCCCCACAGTGGACAGCAGGTGGGGCCAGGAGCTGGGCCTACATCCCTAACCCACCTCTGCCCGCTTGCCTGCCGTGAGGCTCCACGAGACCTGAGTTCTGCAGACCTCGGCATCAGGCTGCGAGCTGGTGGCAGCAGGTGACCCAGTGTCCCTTTAGTGGGGGCTTTTTGGAAAATTCCACTTCAGGCGTGCGGTGACTTGGAGCCACCCCCAAGGGCTCTCTGCTTTCCTAGTACTTGACCCTGGAGGCCTCCAGTATCTGGTACCTCTTTTATCTTTTGATTTCTTTGGTGCATTATAGCTCTACATAGTAGCTGGGTTCATTTTGACATAATCATACATGCCTGGAATTTAATATACTCCAATTCAGTCCCCAGGAGCTCCCTCCTCTCTCTTCCCTCCCTCCCCCTTTCCCCTACTCCTCCTCTTCTGCTCTTCTGGTCTACCTTCCACTCATTTATATAATCAAAAAATATTTCTAGATGTTGATGGACCTTTATTTTATTCATTTATTTATATGCAGTGCTGAGAATCGAACCCAGGGCCTCTTCACACATGCTAGGCAAGCGCTCTACCACTGAGCCATGACCCAGCCCCTCATTTATATAATTTAATTGGTGCTTTATAGATATACATAAAGGTGGAATTCACTGTTATATTTATACATGCATGCAGTGTAATTTTATCAGTAATTCTGCATTTCTTCTGCTTTCCTGTCCCTCTTCGCTCCCTGTGTCTGGTACCCCTTAAGGATCAATGAGCCATGGCCACAGGAGATCCAAGTCCTCCTCCATCCCACTCCAGGCCATAGCTGTAGGCTTTGGAAGACCCCTTTCTTTCATTGTGACTTTTTCTTCTAGTCAACCACTTGGGATGCTCTGGAATGGGTGACCTTAGGTTGTGAGCCAGCCCTACCTGGATCAAGGCCCTCAGTAACCTGAGATCATCATGGGACACCTAGGACAGTCAGAAATGCAGCAGAGATGGAAGGTCAACCATCCCACACTGGTAGGACTCTATTGTCCCCACCCCCAGTAGCAGCAAGTGGCAGGCCTCACAGAGATGACAGCCCCTGGGAGCTGCAGATTTCCCCAGCACAGGGCTCCCCTGGCTTAGCTCGGGCTCTGATGACAAGGCTGAGAGTCTTCACTCCCTGGACCCAGGTGGCTGTGCTTATTGAAGTCTTTGGTCACTGCAGCCAGCTTCCTAGCACATCTTCCTTATGAATGCAGCATATGTTCGCTGTGGGGAAATTTTAAAGTTACCAAACATACTTGGGCAGAAGATGGGCAGCTATGCTCACATATTTCGTTCGACATTTTTCCTGTGGATGGTGTTTCAAATCCTTTGATTATACTCAGCATGTCTTATAATTTAAACTCTTCTTCTGGCCTATAATACATTCTCTATGATTTTAAAATACATTAAAAACTTTTTGACACACACTGTGCCCTATGAATATGTATATGTAGATTTATATTATGTATACAGTATATACAATGTAATAGATACAATATTCTATTGTACATATTTATAGGGTACCAGTGATATTTCAATACAGATCAGGTAACTGCCATATCATCACCTCAAATATTTGTCATTTCTTTGTGTTGGGAACATTCAAAATCTTCCCTACTAGCTACTTTTAAATACACAATCGTTGTCAACCATAGATGCCCTACTGGGAGCTACAGAATGCTGAATTATTCCTAACCAACTGCACTCCTAAAGGTTTTATGATGGCTGCATTTGTCATTCTATTTAGTCAGTCTTCCAGCTTGTTGGACATATTTTGTTCATTTTATTGTTGTAAATAACACTGTGGTGACCATCTTGTTGGAAGTTTCTGCCTGAATTTGAGGATAATTTTATAAGGCTCATGCCCATAAATGTCACTGGACTGAAGGGATTCTGTTGCTGCTCCTTCCTTTTAGGAATGTGCTGTTTCTACGAGTCCTGCGTTCATACATTCGCTGCTTTGAATCTCCTGCAGGCTAGGAAATAGACACCCTTGTTAAAATTGAGTACAACTCCAGTTGATGGCCGCGTGTGCGGGGGCAAGGCGGCTCCTAGAAGCAAAGTACTGGGCTTTGTGAGGTAGATCCTCCAAGTCTGGGTCCTTTTGGCTGTCTCCTATCCAGAAATTCCTAATACTACCCAATTTCCAGAACCAATCAGAGAAAAGCAAATTCTAGGGATTGTGTCCTTAAAATGAGTTTTCTGATGAAGTTCTGACAGCCCTTGGACCAATGGGAAGCTCTTCAGAGACAATGCCCCATTGGGCTTGGGCCCAGAACCATGTTGAGTCCTAGCATGGAGTATGGTATGGGCTCAGAACCACGTTGAGTCCTAGCATGCAGCGTGATGCTGCTACTAATTTTATTCATGCTGTGGACCCTGGTGGCTTAGAACAGGAGTCTGGGTGGGAAGGAGGATGATGATGGGTAAGACATTGTAGGCAGAGCTGTGAGACCTGGGTTGAATGGCTTTGCCTCCTAGCCTGTTTCCTCACCTCCAAGACTCAGCTTGGCAGGTTATGAAACTCGACTGTTTGGCACTTGGGCTGACACTGGGTGCAGACAAGGCATGAACATGATCCCAGTCAACACCTATGGATAAAGGCCACATCTAGGGGCAGGGAATAGGGCACAAATATGTGCTGGGGAAATGAGGACCCTCTGGAGAGATGAGGGGTGTGGCAGAGGCCTCCAGACTGTGTGCTGACATCCTGCCCCACTCAACCACAAGCCCTTCTGTCCTTCTCTCTCAATACTCATTTTTGGAGCTCTGGTGCCCTGGTGTGGCTCCTGAGGTCTTCCAGACAACCATTTTCCTTAGGACAAAATTGCATATATAAATGTACATCTGTCTGTCCTGGGAACTCTGTGAGGGAAGCAGTTAAGGCTGTGGGCCACTCTAGTGTCCCCAATGCCTAGCAGGTGCTCAGATATGGTTTCCATGGATATTGGACATCCCAGGAAAGGCATCCTCACTCCTCTGAGGGAGGATGAGGTCAGGCTGGAGGGTCTCTCCTCATGGTGGTGAGTTGGCCAACATACTTTCTCCATGCTGCTGGGGGCGGGTGGTGCTGTCAGGACTCACTCCCAGGTGTTTTCTCTGAGGCAATGGGCAAGCGGGGAGGAACCGAACTGCTGAGAGGTGCAGGGCTGTTTGCTGTTTTTGATTTTGTCAGATTCAAGTCATAATGAGACTGCATTTAGCAGACTTGTGTACTCTTATGAAAAAAGGCAGGACACGGGTCAAGTCACAGGGCCAGTGTAAGTGACCATGGACTCCCAAGGAGAGGCTCTGAATCCTGGCAGCAGGTTGGTGAAGGTGAGAGCAGGGCAGATAGAGGGCGCCAAACACAAATCTGTGGACCACAAACTCTAGTTCTAGATTCCTGACAATAGCAGTTTCTTGTCACTGTAGCGTTTTAAAACCCTGAGACTCAGAATTATGGGTGGAAGGGAGCTGGGGCTCAAGGAATACCATCAAAGCAGGCTTGTTCATTCCAAGTATCAGTTTTAAGAACTGAGCAGGGCTGAGGCAAGTCTGTGTTCCTGTTAGTGCTCAAAACCAGCTGCCAGGTTATTGTTTTTGCTTAAAACCACAAGAAATTTAAGCATTTATTATGCACCAAATACTGTGAGAAATGTCTGTGAGGCCTCTCTTGCATTCTATTGAGACCACATTTTCAAATCTCCACTCTTCTGCCCGGAGACTAGGTACTGAATTTTTAGAACTCTGACCTGGGGAAAAAACAAGTTAGGAGTTCCCCGCCCATCCCTAAGGACAATGGCCCACTGCAAGCTTTCAGACTACCTATCACGCAGCTGGTCTTTCATCCTCCCACGGATTCAGCTATAGTCTCTGGAGTTTCCCCTCTAGTAATTATTCAAGCTATGAAAACCCTCAGAAATCCTAACATAAACCCACGCCTTCCGGCTCCTGCCACTGAAGTCTTTGCTCTTGCTATGATGTCCTTAGGATATAATTTCAATCTAACAAATACTCAACTATCCAGTATTTGCCAGGCACAAGGAAAAGAGCAGTAAATCAAATAAGCTCGGTTTGGCTCAGAGCCTATATTCCATAGGGGGGATGAGAATCAGTTACTTGTGAGACTTCCTACACACTAACTCAGGGCCTCACTCAGTCTCTCTTTGACCCATCAGGAGGACTTCTCTGAGCCATTTCCCACTCTGTTAAACAGACTTGATCATAGATTGCATCTCTGGAGATTTTGCAACACTGAAGCAAAATAGGGCATATAGAGGTTAGGCCAGTGGTTCCCAAACTTGTCTGCACCTTACACAGCTTTCAAAATGCATTTGCAAAGCCTGTTGCAAACCTCCGGAGGCCACTGGCATGCAGCGCTTTGGAATTTCAAAAGACTCAGTTTTAAAAAGCAGACAGATTTGGGAATTAAGTCAGGCACTGAGTGAAAGCGCAACGAGCGAGCAATCAGAAAAGCCCGTTTTACAGATTAAAAGGCTAAGGCCGGGCAGGGAGGGTGCCAAAGCGCAGTTCCAGAGCCACAAACCCCGGAAGTGAGGCCAGGTCTTCCACACAGACCACCTTCCCTCCGCCGGCTGAGCCCGGCCACCACTCCCACACACCTGCAGGGAAAAGGCTCCCATCGATGCGCTCCGCCGCTCGGCTCCCCACGCCTAGTCCTTGCCCATTCGTGCCCCTTCCCCCTCCCGGCCGCTTCCCACTTCCAAGATGGCCGCGGGTGGAGCCGATCAGGTAAGGGCCCCTGGCGGACGCCTGCGGCGGCTCTGCAGACACAAAGGGCCTCTCAGAGCTCTTTCGCAGCTCCGTTAGGCCCTTGCAATAGAAAAGCGCCAGGGATGCCACTCTGGAGGTCGGAGGCTGCTGGACCGACCGGCTTGGAGCTCGCAACTTCGCAGAACCCGCGGTGGGGGGCGACGGCTCCCGCAGAGGAGCTGACGCAGTCCGGCAGGGGGCGTGGCGACGGGGCGCGGGGCGTGGCGAGAGCGCGTGGGGGCGTGGTGACGGGGCGCGGGGCGTGGCGAGAACGCGTGGGGGCGTGGTGATGGGGCGCGGGGCGTGGCGAGAGCGCGTGGGGGCGGGGCGGGGCGTGACGAGGGGGCGCGGGGCGGGGCGAGAGCGTGCCGCTGTCGGCCGCGGGCAGCTTGCGCGCACCTGCCTTGGATCCGCTGCCTGTGGTGCGTCGGCCGCCCTGGCCCAGCGAGTAGCGGGTCCCGCCAGGCTTGGGCTGCAGGCCCACCGGCCGGGGATGGCGTCGCAGCTGCGCTGACTGCGGTACTGAGGGCTCCGCGGGGGCCGGGCCGTGAGGGCGGGCAGGCGCGGGCCGCTGCCACCTGCTGCCGCCGGCGGCCGGAGCGACGCTGCCCGAGGCGCGGCGCTGCCCGGACACCGCCGCGCCCCCTCCTGCGCGAGGGCTGCCCGGGCGCGCGGCGGGCCCAGTGGGGGCGGCTCTGCGGCCCGCGGGGAGACCCTGCGGTGACTCGCTCCTCCTCCGAAACTTGGCGGAAAGTTTTCCCCTCAGACTCACAGCTCCTGCGCGCCCGGCGGAGCCGGCCGCTCAACGCGCAGGACCCCTTCCGGGAGCCCCGGGGCCGCGGAGACCCTGGCCGGAGAGTCCCTGCGGTGGGCAGCCGGGAGGCTGGAGGCTGGAGGCTGGTCGCGTGTCCTCGCGGCCCGCTATCCAGGCGCGGGGACGGGGCTCTCTCCTGCAGGAGTGGGTCAACGCGGTGGGGCGCTGGCCTGGAGGCGGGCCGACTGGCCCTTGTGGATTCCAGAGTGAGCCCAAGCAGCGGGCATTTCACTGACTGTTTCAGCGACTGCTGACTAGGCTGCTTGAAACCATTTCTGTCTTAAAGTTGCATAGAGTACCGTTTTCTCCCGCGTAAAACTGTAAGTTGCTTTGGAAGGTTCTGTAGACAACCATGCACTTTGCCGTGACTAAGGCCACCAGGGAGTCACCATAGTGTCTTGGGGACTGAGCATTCACCCTTCTGCCCTGCCCCCAATCTGTAGAATGTTAGTACCTAGTTTTCTTGGCTTTTTTATTGGGAATGGATTGCCTGCTGGGCACCGGCAGGTGCTTTGCAGGAACTGGGCTGGTCTTTACAGCGTAATTGGAACACTTCCTGCTGACCAGCTTATCAGGACAGTACCAACCCAAGTCTCAAGTTTGAGTATGGCTTCTCCCTCCAGCTCTCTTAACTGCCTTCTTAGTTTTTGTGTATTTTAGACCCTTGAGATTTTGAACTCCACACTCTGAGTGAGACCCAGCTCTAGGGAACCTGGCTTGTAGCTGTGCTCATGCCAGGACACACCCTTTGGGAAATTAGAGAACTAAGGTTAAAGGTTGATCTGCTTGGCTTGTCACTACATTGTACAGGTGGGGAATTTGAGGTCCAGAGCGCAGTCAGAGCTGTGCAGCAGGTGCTAGGAGAAATATTAGCAACAGGAAGAAGCTGTACCATGAGGCTTCCTATGCACAGAGTGGCTGTTTCTGGGCTTGCTTATGCAAATGTGTTGCTAAAATAGTGGGGCTGAGTTGGCTGGCCCTATCTGGTGCCCAGTGGAGAATAATACCAGCCAACAGCTTCTAGGCTTAGCTCATGCCAGGCATAGTTCTAAAGGCTTTATGTGGGTTTCTTCTCCTAATGTTGTCAACTGCCTAATGAAGTAGGTCTAGTATTGTTCCCACTTTGCTACAAGGAAACTGAAGCACAGGGAGGTTAAGAAACTAACCCAGAGTCACACAACTGGTAGGTGAAGGAGCTGGGAATTTAACCCTAGGCAGTCTACTTCTAGAGCCTGTGTTATTTTTCCCTTGCTTATTTTTAAAATTTTTCTGTTGAAATCTAACATACATACAGAGAAATATAAAACTTGATTTCAGTTTATTGATTGTCACAAACTTTAGAGCATATATTCTTAAGTACTCCACAGGTCATGTATGTATGGGCTTTGGTGTAGACTTGGTCTGAGTCCAGTTTTCTTTGCTGTGTGATCCTGAATGAGATACTTAGCCTCTCTGAGTCTGTTTCTTCAGTGTTCTTGGCAGGCTTATGATGATTACAGCACATGATGGCCCCTAGCCATGAATAGTACATGCTCAGTGGTTGGTATATTAACAATTAAAATAATACATTATGTTGCCTTTATTAGGTGGTCTGAATATCTTCTCAGCCTGTTAGTTGCCTTCCAGTTACTTCACAGGTACTTATGACAGTTGGGTTTGGTCACTTTCTAAATGTGGCTGAGACATTTTAGAGAAGAGGGAGCAGTCCATATGTTCAGTCTCCTTAATTTAAAGTGTCCCATTTTTGACTTTTAAACATAACCACCTGAGACCTGTGTAAGTGTCTTGTCTGTTAGGGCTGTGAAGGAGCCTTTGGGGACCTCAACAGTTTAACCCTTTTTGGCCTGGTGTACTGAGTATTCATGGATGAAACCTGTTTAAATAGCATCTTAGAGGGTACCTGGAAGTTGCCATTCTTCTTCCAGAGGTATCTAGGTAATTTTTTAAGAATTATTTTTATCTTAAAGAATAATGCATTTCAGAAACCCCAGTTTTTGTGATTTGTCTTTCCACTGTGCATAATGCATATTGGACACTGTTGGTTCCTTTAGGCATCGTGCCTGATGGTGGAGGGTGAGCACTTGCAGTCAGCTTGGGCTAGACCAGCATGGCTGCTTTATCACATGTCCCCCTCGGACTCAGGGCTGTGATGTGGTAGCAATACTCAAAGCTCTTTAGGTGGTGGTGGAGGTCACCTAGATCACGGATGTGAACATTGAGCACAGGGCCCCATGCGTCACATGTTCCTGGAAGGCAGAGCTAGTGTTAATTGTTCATGTAGAGATACTGAGATCTAGCTCTAGCCTGGTCCTTTCTGCCTCAGCCAACACTTTAATTCAAGAATAGAGACTCGCTGCTGGTTGGTACCTATGAGCCCTCTACACAGCAAGTGGGTTCACATGGAGGTGGCACACACTATGGTTCTCCTCATGTCAAAGGCTGATCATTTCTCCTGACTGGTCCATGCCTGGGGTTGAGCTGTAGGCCTGGTACAGCAACCATTCCTGGGAGAAAGCTGATAGTGCCACCAGATTTTTTTCCCCAGGAAACACAGAGGACCCCCCAGAGGCACATGTTGGGAACAGAAGACTGGCAGGGGGAGCAGCGGGGAGGGGCTGCCATGAGACCTGAGTAGATCACGCATCTGGCTCAGCTACGTGGTGCTCTCTGTGTGAAATGCAGTCTACTGTCTCCCCTGTGGCCATAGTAAGCTCTGGAGGAGGTGCCAGCTGTCTGCATGTGGCCTTTGTAAGCAGCAGAGCTTCCAGGGAGCCAGGGAATTACAGACCTGGGGTCCAATGCTGACCTTGGCAAGTCACATGCCTCAGTTTCCTTCTCTGTGCAGTGGGGATAATACTTAGCTGATGGGGTTGAGCCAGGATGGTACATTCAGAGTTGAGAATGAAGCCCAGGACTCATCAAATTGTAGTTTCATGGTGATAACTAGGTGTGGTGTCTGATGTACAGTCCTGGTCCTGTCTTCCTGCAACTTTAGCTCTGGGAATTGTATGCCCTTAGGCCATGACTGAGTAGAGATGGTTTGTGTATGCTTGACCCTAAAGAATGAGGATCTGGAAATTGGGTATGGCTGGGTTGGGGGAGTCTCTGCAGCCAGAATAAGTCCTCTGTCCTTTGAAGGTCAAAGTGAGCAGTGCGGCCCCTTGCTGATGGGGTTAAAAGCAGGTTGATCCCCTCAGGACCATCCAGAGAGGAGCCTAGAACAGGAAGGACTGCTCAGGGCCTGTGTTCTGGGCAAGGTGCTAGAAGACATCAGCACATATGGCAGCAGGCTTCTCCCTAAAACTGCCCATGAGTACGTGTTTTTCCCTTTGAGGACATAACTAAATCATTTGGTTTGGGTTTCATAAATGGTTTTTTATTTATGCAGACTTTCATCAAGACCTAGTCTCACTGCTTTTTAAAGAAAAGAAAATCAGACTGTTGCTTCTAGGTGGGATTGCTTCTCTCAGCCCTGTCCAGAGTCGCCCATTGTTCCATTCCCTCAGACAGTTTTCCTTTTTGCTTCGTGCAGAGCTCAGTGTTGGGGCAGGCACATCAAATTCAGATGGTCTTGCTGAGTGGAATAAAAACAGTCTTCCTCTTATCCACATTTCACATCTTGCATGTTTTTTTCTTGTCCGGAAAGTGATTAATCATTGTTAGTCCAGTGTTGAGTGCCTGCCTCCCTGGCAGGGACTGCTCCTTCCTCCCTGAGCTGACTGAGCTGAGGTTGCTCAGGCCACTGTTGGTGCTGCTGGTAAGTTAAGGATGTGGATTTAGGAAGACAAATGTGATAGGAAGGATTATGTTTCACTTTCCTGACTATCCAGTATGGACAGTGGCGCCTCACTGTCAGGTCTGGTACCCAACACGATATAGGAATGGATGGCCATAGCTTACTTAGTTGCTTGTGTCTGTTGTCTATGCACGTTGTCAGGAACCCCATGGCAAGGGTTTTCTTCCTCCTGTTGCTGCTTCTAGTGCTCATCTTGTTCTTGGAACATAACCCAACTCTCCACAGAGGTTACTTGGTTGTGACTGTCCCTGAAACATGCCCACCAAAGAACTTAGCAGTTAGTAATATTTAATTCAGCAAGTAATCCATGCTAAGTTTTTGGCAATGCAGTGGTGTCTAGAAATGAGAAAGACTATGCCTGCCTGAAACTTGGAATCCATTGAAGAGAGACATGAAAAAAGGCATGAAATCTAGTTGTTTTAGGTGGGATGTGGCCAAAAGGATTCAGGAGGAGGGAAGTCCTGTAGCTCTTGGGAGAGATGGGGAGGCCTTTTCAGGGGGAGGTAGACTTTGCAGGCAGTGATAGAGTGGCTCCTTGTGCCACATACTGCTGGAGCCCAAGAACCCTGGTGGCCTGGGCGGGAAGAGTGCACTTGAGAGCGATCCCATTGCATGTCGGGGCCGGAGATACTGGTGCACAGGAGGCAGAGCCTGTGGGGAGACCATTGCTTATTCAGGCTGTCTTTGTTTAGAATGCATTTGACTTGGAGGCAGGCCATTTGCCTCTGGCCACTTTCCAAAGTCCACCCCATAGCCTTGTCTCAGGAATGTACCTTGTTCATACAACCTATCCCTTGTGTGGCATCAGCAATAGGCAGGTGGCCTGAAGTACAGCTTCTGGTTTTATGGCACTAGGTAGAAAGGATTGAAGACAGCTGGCCTTGGTCTTGCTGTGTGTTGGAAGAGGAGATACCTTTTCCCTTTTAGGTTTATTTCTCTGAAGACCAACACTCTGTTCCTGAGGTTTAAGGAACTTAACCCAGACTTGGGACCAAGAGAGGCCTCAAAGGTCTCCGGACTTTCCTAGAAGTAAGGCCCTGGGGCTGCTATCCCCAGCTTCCATGGTAGAGGAGAAGGGAATAGGACAGAGGCTATACCAGTTGGCTGAGGACTCTCAGCCCCTCTTCCTTCTTCCCTGTGCTTTCCTCTTGTGAGAATCTGAGAAAGGGTCCTTGGAGTGCCATGAGTGAAACACAATTGTCTCACTTAACCAGTTTCCAATACTGCAGACATAATTGGCTGCCTTGTTTGCCCAGGCACTGATTTTCCTAGGAAGGGTAGACTTGCTACACATTCCTGTCCACTCAAATGCCAGAACTTCTTTTTTTTTTTTTTTTTTCCCAGAACTTCTTGTGGGCAAACCCACATCTCTTCTGTAAACAGTTTAGAGCCATCATTTGTAGGTGCTATAGCTCTTTCTGTGGCTTGACAGTTGAGGGAATGGCACATTCCTGGGCACCTACTGTGTGTCAGTGCTGGCTGACTGAGCTCTCACCAGATCTTATTTCTTTTAACTTAGAGCAGCCTGTGAACAGTGTGTTGCTGCTTGTTGTACTGTGGGGGAGGAGGGAAGGTGAGATGCAGAAAGGTGCAGCACCTCACCTGACCTGTGAGCCCCCCACTACTTAAGTTGCAGAGCGAGAACTGCAGTGTTGGAGATGCTCAGCCCTGTATAGTGTCAGGATTTCCTCTTCTTTTTATGGCTCTTTGCCAGTTTGATCCCTTGGAGTGTTGATGATATTTTGATAACTTTAATCACCTTTAACCTTGTCAAAAATAGCTCTTAACTGTGATTTTTTTGGGAGGAGGTCAGGGTTGTATTTTTCTTTCAGTTAAGAAAGTGTAACCAGGCATGAGGTGCAAGTCTGTAAATCCAGTGACTTAGGAGGCTGAGGCATTAGGATCTCAAGTTGAAGGCCAGTCTCAGCCACTTAGTGAGGCCCAAAGCAACTTAGATCCTATCTATCTCAGAAGATAAAAAGGGCTGGGGACATAGCTCAGAGGTTAAGTGCCCCTATACCCTCTACTCCCCTCCCCCGCCCCCACAAAAAATACGACTTTCAAATTTATGTATGTTTGAATATATCTGCATCTTCCTTTGTGAATCCTGTTATTCATAACATAACAACTTGAGGGGTTTTCCCAGATCAGGGAACATAGAGATAGTGTGCAGTGGCCTTGCCTTAGGGGAACACGTGGCTGTGGACTTAGGATAGAAGTTCAGAGCACTGAGCCTTGCACAGACTTGTACCATTGTATACCTGGTGAAATGATTCCCAGATCCTTTTGGAAGGTGAACTGAGTATTTGCTCTATAGGTTTAAGGAATATTTTATTTTTTGTAGTGCCTATGAATTTCACTTTTGTGTCTATCTCTAATTTTGTCTGTATGTTTATCCTGGTGTAGTATAGTATAGTTTTCTAAGAAAAATTGATAATCAATTAGTACAACACTGGGATTAAATAATCCTTCCTACTCACTGGGTCATATTTCATGTTTTTATATAGTTCAGTCTATTTCTGAATTCTGCTTTTCGATTCATTCCTTTACTTTTCTATTTTTGCTCCTGTGCTATGCTGTCTGAGCAGCTCCTTCAGTGTCTACGAGGGAGGGAGAGAGGGAGGATACTCCCCTCCCCCTTTTCTGCTTTAATGAATTTGCTTCTGTCTTGGCACTGACTCCTGAACTTTCAGAAGCTAAGATAACAGCCCTGGCTGCCACTGTTCTTCACTACTGCAGAGCCTCAGCTTCACCCGGATGAGAGCAAAAGGCCTCTGGGCCAGGTGCCTACTCAGTGCTTTCTTCCAAGGCCTTTGGTGGAGCTGGGACCAGAATACAGGAACGTCTTGAGTGCAAAGTTCTGTCTTCATTCTATTCTACTCTAGGGTGTGGATTTCAGTACGCCATCTGAATTCTTAGGGTTTTTTTTTTTTTTTTTTGGGTACTGGAGATTTAACCCAGAGATGTTTAACCACTGAGTCACTTCCCCAGCCCTTTTTATTTTTTATTTTTGAGACAGGGTCTCACTAAGTTGCTTATGGCCTTGCTAATTTGGTGAGGCTGGACTTGAACTTGTGATCTTCCTGTCTCAGCCTTACAAGCCTCTGGGATTATTGGTATGTGTCACTGCACCTGGCTGAATTCTTAGCTGTGACATTTTCAAGACAAACAAAAGGTAACCAGACACAGGTTAGGATTGGCAGTCTGCTGTGGGCTCTTCTCCAGGCTGTTTCATGTATCCTACCATCCCTCACTTTAGGCCAGAGCACTTTGGACATGGCCTTGGATATGTGTGTGGCACCAGTGCTTTTGACTTTTCTTGTTCTAGTTTTGATCTTTGTGGTTCCATTACTGGTGGTTTATCATCACTGAGCTATCCTCTGAACCTGGGTTTTATAACCCTATAGTAGCCATTCTAAACAAGGCAGGACCTTCATTGGGGCCCACAGATTGCAGCTCTGCCACAGGGTAGCAGTAGGATCCTGGGCCCACTTTTAAGTCTCTTGGCACCTGGTTTCCACTGTGGAAAAGGGTTGGCATGTCCTGCCTATGAGGTAAGTGTGGCTGTGCTTACGGCAAGACATGGCCAGCTCAGGCCTGGTTGTGCAGTGTCACTGCAGATGGTCTATGTAATTCTTTTTGCTCTTTTTCTGTCCTAATGAAGATATCTTGATTTTTGTGCTGCCTAGTAATGAGTAGAACCTTAACTTATCTGTGGGTTGTGAATTCATATACTTTTTAAAAAATTTAAAATTTTTTAAAATTCTAGTTTCATAAACATTTCAGAAGCTAAGATAACAGTGTTATCCTATTTGTCATTTGCCCCCCTGAATTAGCTTTGTGTAATTGTGACAAAATACCTGAGATAACAATTTATGAGAAAGAAAGGTTTATTTTGGCCCATAGTTTCAGGTTTCAGTTCACGGTCACTTGGCTCTGTTGCTTTGGGCCTGGGGTAGCATGGTACATCCTGGCAGGAGTACATGGTAGAAGAGGCTTCTTCCCCTCATGGCAGCCAGGAAGTAAGAAGAGCAATAGGAAGGGTCCCAATATTGTCTTCAAGGCACACTCCTAGTGACCCAAATTCCTCCCATTGAGCCCTGTTAGAAATAACCAGAGTGCCACAAGGAATCCAATATGAGCTGGGAAGTAGCTCAGCAAGGCAACTTTACCTCTACCAGGAAGGCGTGCTCCGGAGTCTGGCTAATAAGCCCACTTAGGTGGGCAGTCCTCCAGTTTTATCCCTAATGCTGCACTGCCCCTTGCTCTGACAGGAGGAGTTCAGGGTTATAGTTTACACAACTGGCTAATTTTAAGATTGGGGTGGGTAAAGGGAAGGACTATAGTTAAAATGGCTATGATTGGATCTTACCTCTCAGTTAAGGCTAAGCACTCTAGTAGTAGTATGGTTAACAGACCTCTGGACTTTCTGTTTCTCACAGCCCTGCCTCCCAAAGGTGCCACGACTTCCCCAAAGTGCCATAGTTTGTAGACCAAATTTTCAACACATAGACCTCTGGGGACATTCAAATCCAAATTATAGTATGCTCCCTGACCTCCAAATAAAAAAGAAAACTTCCTCCCTGCCTAGCATAGTTCTCAGGTTCCCAGCACTGTCCTGAGTATCAGAGATGTGACTGGTGGGGTGACAATGATGAAGATAATGATTTTTGCTTTAGATATATGCTTTGTTTGGGTTATTTTCTGACATGATAGTGCATGTTAACATTCTTGATGTGGTTGGTTCTGAATCAAAATTTGGTTATGTGGGGCTCTTTTCATGGCATCCCCCTTTAAAAGGGATGTCCTAGTAGTGAGCTGTGTCTGAGGAATGGCATCTGTGGGTCTTATGTCCACCTGCCTGATTTCTGTGTCTTGTTTTTTCTAGTTTCTCCTTGGACCAAGATGACTGATGGAAACCTTTCCACTTCCACAAATGGCATAGCCTTGATGGACATTCTGGATGCTCATCAGGGAAAACCCCTTCAGAACCTGCAGCAAGTGAATGCCAAGGGGTCCAGATCCCTCTCAACACCTGAGTACGGGCCCAAGTTGAAACTTGGTGCTTCAGAAGACCGGCACAGCCTTCAGTCAGTGGACTCTGGCATTCCTACCTTGGAGGTTGGCAACCCAGAACCTGTCCCCTGTAGTGTGGCCCTTGTGAAGAGGAAGCAGTCGGAGTCAGAGCTTGTCCCTGAGCGGGCCTTCCAGAGTGCATGCCCACTACCATCCTGCACACCTCTGGCTCCCACCAGTGCAGAGCGTGAGCAGACTGTGCGGAAGTCCTCCACATTTCCCAGGACAGGCTATGACTCAGTGAAGCTCTATAGTCCCACCTCCAAAACCCTGAACCGTAGTGATGATGTCTCCATCTGTAGTGTGTCTAGTCTTGGCACAGAGCTGTCCACCACGCTGTCTATCAGCAATGAGGACATCTTGGACCTCATGGTCACGAGCAGCTCCAGTGCCATTGTGACCCTGGAGAACGACGATGACCCACAGTTTACTGATGTCACCCTGAGCTCCATCAAGGAGAGCAGTGAACTGCACCAGCAGGGCTGGGCTGATGGAACCGAGGAGGGGAGTAAACTGAGGATACTGGCACCATTTAGTAGCTTCTTTACAAGGTAATGCTGTCTGTGTCACTGTGGAGGAGCTGGACTGCAGACCTATTGCCTTGTTCTGTTGTAATGTGTGTCATGTGTCCTGGTTGAGCAGGTGCTGTGGCCTGCAGACAGCCATGCCTTGCCCAGCACCATGGGAGTTGTGTGGGTCAGGTCTGCTGGTGACTCTATCATTCGTTCCTCCCTGTGTCCTTGGCTTCACTTGCAGTCTCTGTCACTTTTTGGTCTCTGGCCTGTTGTAGCTCTGGGTAACTCATAGGTAGTCATTGTCACCAAATCAGCAGCTATAGTTTGATAGCCTTAGGCTCTAAAGGGCCCTTATCTAATGACTTGTTTTTGGGGTCACATGGTGACTGCAGATGAAGTGACATCAGTAGTAATAACTCACATTTTTAACACTGTGCCCTCTGGCAGAGACCAGGCTGGTCTATCTGGGTGTCCCAGTTGTGGTCCTGTTCTTGTGCTTATGCCCTGGCCTGGTCCTGCTGTCATTGCACTGCAGCCACATGCGTTCCCTTCTGTGTTGAGTCTGGCCTGTATACCCTCTTCCTGGCACCCTGTCCCCAATTACCACACAGGCCTCCTGGTGTGTCTGTTGTCCCCAAAGTCCTAGGAATTGGCTACTTCGGCTACTGCCTCTTCTTGTGCTTGTTCAGGAAGCATCTGTGTTTGAGGCCCTGTTCTAGGTAGGTCGTGTGGGGTAATATGCAATTGAAATAACCTCAGGGGCTAAGGATGTGGCTCAAGTGGTAGCGCGCTCGCCTGGCATGCGTGCGGCCCGGGTTCGATCCTCAGCACCACATACCAACAAAGATGTTGTGTCCGCCGAGAACTAGAAAATAAATATTGTTTTGAATGACCAACAATAAAAAAAAAAAAAAAAAAAAAAAAAAAAAAAAAAAAGAAATAACCTCAGGTCATGAGGTTATTTCTATTGCACATTATCCCACAGGAACCCATGTGGCTGCAGTGCAGTGATAGCAGAACCAGGCCAGGGCATAAGCACCAGAACAGGACCACAACTGGAAAACCCAGATAGACCAGCCTGGTCTCTGCCAGAGGGCACGGTGTAAGAAATGTGAGTTATTACTACTGATGTCACTTCATCTGTAGTCACCATGTGACCCCCAAAACAAGTGGACACATCAGTCAGTCACAGAAGCAAGTATGATCTCCCAAACTCTGGAGTGCTGTACAGAAGGGCATGGAGCCTGGAGAGAGTGTGCAGGACTGCCAGCAGCTTCACAGCTGCTTTTCGGGAGCCTCTGGGCCCAAAGCTTCACAGCTGGAAGCATTTGTGGCCACCCTGGCTGTGCACATGCCCCTGGTGAAGCCCATGTTGGACCTTTGCTGTACTGGGTGATGTGCTGGCTGGAGTCAGCTGGAGGTGTCTGACTGGGCAGACAGTCATTATTGCTGCCTCAGTTGCTTCATCAGCTACATGCAGGACATTGGATGAGTCTAAGACCAGCCCTGAGTGATTTTAGCCACTTTTTTTTCTCTGATGTGTTGACAGGTATCCTGCTGCTCTAGTAGAGTCTCTGGTCTCAGAATTTGGTAACTTGGTGATTGCGCTCAGTGAGTGGGGTCCTTGAACCGTGGGGGACTCTTGTCAGCATCCCCTCCAAGGCAGGTGCCATGCTGTGGTGGTGTGATTTTCATTGGTGGGCTGTTTTTAGCTTTCCCCATTTATGAATACCATAGGTACCTGTTAAGTGTGGCTCTCAGGGGAAAGGGCCTGGAAAACAGGCCTCCATAGTCCCCTGGGGTCCTTAGGCTATCTAGGAACACTTGCTTGAAATGGGTGGTAAGAGAAAGAGCTCGGCTTTGGAATTCAACAGATTGAACCTACAGCCTAGCTGTGTGACCTTGAACAAGTTATTTCACCTCTCTAGTCATTTTCTCATCCCTAACATAGCATTATTAAGAGCCTAGCACAGAATGCCTGTCACGTGTTGATTCTGCTCTGCCCTTACCCTTGTTGTCCTCTACATTACTGTGCCTAGGACTTGGCTTCTTCACCTGGGGGTGGGATTAAGTGGATAATTGTGCAAGTTTGTTGTGGATCCTGACACATGGAAGGCTTTACCTATCTGTCACTTGGGATGATTATGGCTGCGCCCTGCTCCTCTGTCCTGAAGGACCCGAGTTGTCTGTTGGAACCTCTTCCCTTTTGAGGGAAGCTCTAGCAATTATACAATTTCTAGATATTTTCCAAAGCTGCTGTTTCTTGAAAACCTTCCTCAGGTGTGGGCCACAGAAAATAGTGTGTCCTCTTTATTTTATTCCTTGGTTGCTGACTCCTCATCCTTGATTTGATGGCTGTGACATTGTTACTGACAGCCAGGCTAAAGTGCTTTTGGGAGCATGTGGAATTTGGCAACAATGAGTCAATAAGTGATACTGTGTACAGAGTCTAGAGGGTGTTTGTCCTGGGGTCTCAGTGTTAGAGAGGAGCTTCAGCCTAGAGTGACTTTGAAGGAGGGGGTTCTGGGCCTATTATGTGTGGAGCCTACTGAACATTTGTAGGTGAGTAAGTGGAGTTACAGAGAATGCTCCAGAGCCTGCCCCAGGCCTGGCCTGCAGCAGGAGCACCGGAGAGTATGGACTATGTTAGTCTTTGTAGAGAGCAGGGCCAGGGCTGGAGCTGGTCTTCTGTGGACCCCAGGCCTTAGACATCTGCCTCTCCTCCTGGCCCCTTGCCCCTGCTTTCTGTTCTCTTCCTCCTTGGTCTCTATGCCATAGAAAGACACGTGGGTGGTGTTGTGGGAGGCTGGTCTAGGAGAACATAGTTTAGAGGAAGAGGTGAAGATGGTCAGGGAGCTTGTGACTGGAGGGAGCAGAGCTTGATGAGGTAACCTGAGTGAGATAGGAACAGAGGAGTGACAGGGCGACTGGCTGGGCCTGACCACTGTCCTGCAGAAGCCACAGGCCCAGCTGCCATTTGTTCTTCCTTCCCCACACTGTAACAAACACCTCTGAGCCAGACTCTACCCTGAGCTATAGAGGGAGTCTTGGTCCTTATGCAGCTAGCAGTCCAGTGGGGGAAACAGACCAGCAGCTTGGGGCAAGGCTGGGGGTGCACTGCAGTTAGGAGTGCTGGTTCAGGGCTCACACCAGTTGGGCCTCACTAGAGCTCTCCTCCTTAATCGCTCTGTGACTTTGGGCAAGTTACCTCTCTGAGCCTACTGTGCAGGGTTAGAGACCAAGTAGGCTAAACATCTGCATTCCTGGCCCTCTTCCAGCAGCAGCTGTCTATGATGCTAACTCTGCATGGTTTTGTTTTGTTTCCTAAAGCTTTCTCTAGTTCCTAATCCTAGATCATGCTGAAGGTCAACCCATTGGCAAGTTAAGTTAGTGCAGGACCTCTCCAGTGGCGCATGGTTGACATTTTGGGACAGATGCTCCCTGTTGTGGGCGGCTGACCTGTGCACTGAAGGATGTGTCACAGTACCCCTGACCTCTGCCCACTGGATGCCAGTGGCTCTCCCTGTGCAAGATGCCCAGACATGTCTCCTCCTGACATTGCCAGATGTTTGGGGCAGGAGGTGGGAAGCTTGCAGAATCACACAGCTTTTGAGACCACAGAGCTAGCAGGTTGTGACTGTTGATGTTTAATTGCTTCCCCGAAGGAAATTTTCTAATGTAATTTGAGCAGGGTCCTCCTCTTGTTAGGAAGGGAGGGACTGGGCTGAGGGATTCCCATGAACCCAGTGTGGTATTTGTCTAGAATCCCACAGTTAGTGAGTGAGGAGGTGGGAGCTCACTAGTGGTGTGCTTCCTTTCCTCAGGAGCCAGGTTGGCTTCCATGGATCTGCATTGATCTAGGAGGCATTGATTAGCTTTGGTCACATATGTCTCCATTCATATAGTCCTTTATTGAGTTCGCAGAGCTGGTTATGGAGGCTCCTTTGCTGAAGGAGAATGTTTAACTTGAGATTGGAGAACGGGGGGAGCTTGCCAAAAGAAGGCTTCTGTGGGGGCAGGAGGACAGCCTGACCGTGTGAGGCACCTGCTTCCTGCATCTCTGAGAACCCCTCTGAGTTATAATTTAAAGACAGAGGTGGGAGAGTGTCAGTTGAGAGCTGGGCTGCTCAGTTCTAAGTCTGATCCTCAGATCTGCCATTTTATACTGTGTGACCTTAAGAAAGTTACTTAACCTCTCTAGGCTTCAGTATGCACTTGGGTGACACAGGGCCATTTACACCTATCATAAAGAGCTAATGTGAGGGTTAACTGAGAAAATACACGTAAACCTCCAGCATACCACATACTTGTGTGCAGGCTGGATTCATGCTGTTCTCTGTTTTTGTTGGTTTCATGCACGCACACCCTTTCCCCTTGTGCTGGGGATTGACCCCAGGAATACTCTATCCTTTCTATTTTTAATTTTGAGACAGTCTTGCCGATTTGCCCAGGCTAGCCTTAAACTTGTGATCTTCAGTGGCTGGGATCACAGGTATGTGCCCCTGCTTCTGGCTTTTTTTCTTTTGGTATTAGGGATTGAACCCAGGGGCACTTAACCACAGAACCCATCCCCAGCCCTTTTTTAAACTTTTTTTAAAAATTTGAGGTAGAATCTCGCAAAGCTGCTTAGAGCCTTGCTAAGTTGCTAATGCTGGCTTTGAACTTGGGATCCTCCTGCCTCAGTTTCCCAAGCTGCACTGTACCTGGCTTCTTTTATTTTTTCTTTAAATTCTGCTATATGAAAATTTTGCAACCACTGGCTTAAGAAAATTCTTCAGGTGGGAACTTTGACTTGGTTTGAAAGTGCTGAACCAGCTTTAGTTTCTCTATGGATCTAGGGTTTCAGGATCTGATCCTTTGGAGGGTGAGAGCAGCATGAGGAGGACAAGCCTGTTACTTGTTGAGGAGTGAGTGAGTTTATCACGAGGGGTATACTGTCAAGACATGGCTGGACTGTGTCCTTGGCACAGGCAGCATTTAGTGTGTCTGCTTTTACACAGCTGCCTTCTTTAAGCTTTGCAGCCTTAGGAGGTGGC